TGATGTCCGAGCACTAATTTAGCTCAGGGCAGAAACCTTCAGCACCAGAAGCTTGGCCGTGAGGGGACAAATTGAGTTTGGCCACAGCAACTCATGAAATTATCCAATCCGGTCTGGCTGGATGACACTAGGTAAGTCCCTTAACATCTCAAGGCCACAGGTGCCTCACTAAGATGTGTTAAAGCTTTTGTGCTACCTGAGGACTCTGGAGTCATCGTGTGAAGCAACAAACATCAGAGGAAGACAACGTGGAATGAGAGGGATCAAAGGCCAGGAAACAGAAACATGTGGAATGGTGGCACTGGCAAGGACCTTGGAGGCCACGGACTCCAGCCCTGTCGTTTCACAGATGAGGAAGCCGAGCCCCAGGAAGAGCTGCCGAGATGGGGGCTGGGATTCTGAAGTGACTTCCCCAAGATCACCCAGCCTCTAGATTTCAGAAACACCACTTCATTGGAAAAGAAAGAACACAGACTGCTCTCCAGAGCCTGTACCCCACTAATGCTAAAGGCAACTATCATTAAGACTGCATGCTCTCTTTAGAGAAAGAGCTATGGAGTCTGAATGCAGATCAAAGCATGCTATTTTTACTTTTTTTGTTTTTTTCTTTCTTTTGGTTTTTCCTTTTTGTTCTGATTCTTCTTTCACAACATGACTAATATGGAAATAGATTTAATGTGATTATACATGTATAACCTATATCAGATTGCTTACCGTCTTGGGAAGGGGGGAAGGGAGGGAGGGAGAAAAAATTTGGAACTCAAAATCTTATAAAAGCAAATGTTGAAAACTATCTTTCCATGTAAATGGAAAAAATAAAATATTATCAAGTGGGTGGGGGAGACTGGATGCTCTCTGCTTTGGAAGGCTGAAACCCCGGGGGTCCATATTCCAGGTTCCAGTTCTCCTAGTAGAGCTGTTCCTAGAATAGGAAGGCTGACAGGAGTCATTCTTGCAGAAACGGATTCTTTTGAGGGGCAGCCCTGGGGAAGACGGCCTAGACTTGGTATGCAGAGAGGCAGATCTCAGCCTGATGTCAGAGAAAACTCCCTAATGAGAATTGTCCCAAAGGGAAATGGGCTGCCTGGGGAGAGTGGGCTTCCCCATCACCGGAGGGCTCAAGCAAGGTCTCGTTGACCATATGTTGGGAGTGCTACTGCAAAGATTCCTCTTCAGCAGCCTAGTAGACCAGATGATCATTTGAATCCTTTCCAGTTCTCAAACTGTGTGATCCACCCTTCCGGCGCCCTCTAGTCTGCTAACTTATCTCTCCTTCCTCAGTCTGTCTGGAGTTTTCTAGCTATACTCGTCCACCCACCCAGACCCGACCCAAACCCCACAATCAACCAGTTCAACACCTTGCCAACACCTCCTTGACTTTCCACCATATCCGTCCTACAGACCACCTCCAGCCTAGGGCAAAGCCTGCCAGTGGCTTTCTCTGCTCCATTCCCTACTCCTCCTTCCTCCTAGGCTGCCTAGACTAGAGGAGAAAAGTGGCACCCAGCTGATCGGCCGCATCACAAATTCAGTCTAGCTACCATTAAAAGGACTCTCAGAGTTGCTCAGAAAGCTTTGGATCACCTCTACCTGATTCCCTCATTCACCACTGAAACTGTTCCAAACTGTTTACTCTCTTCAAGCCCCAGAGACCAGCCCTGTCCCTTCATTCTCTGCAAACTAACTCACTTCCTTTTTTACCAAGAGGAGAAAGGTCATTTGGGATGAGTTCCAGCTACTTCTCTACCCTCTACATCAAAATTTCTCCACCTCTTCACCCCATGCTTCCTCCTACCCTCCCACCTCAAAGTGAAAACCATCCCTCCTGCAGAGGGTCCAGAGGTGTCCTTTCTGCTGATTTCCTCCACCTCTCTCTACTAGGTCTTTCAGCTCCCCTTCCCCACTGGCCCCTTTCTCTTTCCCTAGAAACATGTTCTGGTCTTCCCTATCCTAAAAAAATCTTTCCTTGGACTCTGAAAGGGATACCCTGGGAGCACTGTCTTCTCTGCACTTACCTTTACAATCACACTGACTCCCCTGCCCTGCCCCATATTCAGAAACCTTCCTGCTGCCCCGACCACTCCAATGGAACTGCTCTCTCCCAGCTCACCGACAGCCTGCTACTTGGCAAACCCAATAGACTTTTCTTACAAAAAGAGCTCCACAGCATTTGCCTCAAGTTGGAAAGAAACCCAAATTGTTTGGGGAATTTCAGAAAAATCTATATCTCAGATGAAATATATATGGGAGATAGGATGGTACAAATCCTTCCTCCTGCTGCTACCTTTGGCTATAAAGAGACCAGATTATCTAATTAAAGCTTCGAGGGCTGCAGTCCTAGCCTATATTTTAAAAAAAAAAAGAGCACTAGCAAATTCAAAAAAAGGCAAATGTCCTGAGCTGGGTACAGGAAGCTAAAGATGGGCTCAGCCCCATTGGTCCCTCTGGTGTGGCTGCCTCTGGGCTGAGGACAGAGTTGAAGATCAGTTTCCAAACAGGCAAGCTGAAAAAATTAGATGTGGACTTCCAAAGGACAAGGCTTCCAAAAAGACACTCTGTGGAAAATCTTGAAAAATCCCCTGGACTACATCAGCTCAATGTAAAATGCCAGAGGAAACCAACAGGCAATTGGATTGGCTCTCTCTACCTCTCTGACAATAGCTAATATTGACTGGTAACATCAGGGGTGATTTAAATCATGGAATTCATCCCCTTGCCAAGACAGAAGACAATTTTCTGGGCTCAGAATGGAATCCTTGAGCTTAGCCAAGCCAACACGCAGTTAAAACAAACTAATTCCAACCACTGCACTGTGGAATTTATTATTTCAAGTTAAATCCCTTTAGAGCTTCGAATCACCTAGAAAGTCAAATGGCATTAGTGCTCTGGAACTCAACAGTAATTCACCCTTTGTCTTTTTAAGCTTTTGGAAACCCTGCGTTGAGTACATTGGGGAAGGGGTGTGTTCTCATTTTAGTAGCACACAGAGAATGGGACGCCAGCTCTAAATACAAATTCAAACAGAATAAGATGTCCATTTCCTTTAGTCTACCATGTAAATATTTAGCAGATACTAAACAGTATTTATTATTGTTGTTGTGATTATTAGTTCAATGCCAACCAGATGTAGAGGAAAATATATTGCATGACCTCAAGGTAAGTTTAGGGGTTTTTCTGTGTTTGGGGAGGTGTTTCTGGTATAGACTTATGAATTCATAGGGCATAGGGAATTCCCTGTGTGGAAATTCCCTCCACCAATACAAATCACCAAGACTTATCTGCAACTTCCAGTTGCAAAGACTCACCTGGGGGACCTGGTATGTCCACAGTCACACAAGCCAGTACATATCAGAGACAAAACTTGAACTCAGGTCTTCCCAACTCCAAGGTTGTCTCCCTGTCAATTTTATCATGATGCTTTTCAAAAGCAAAATATACCTGTTAATTTATATTAACTTCATCTTCTCAGCTATTCACTTTTATTTGTTCATTTGGGATCCAGACCTGAGATTTCATCAGCACAGGAAATCCTCAGGATTGAAATTCATTCCACCAATGCAGATCAGTAATTGTTCTACAACTTATGGTCATAGAGAGTTACGTGGAGAACTTTGAGGTTAAGTGATTTGCCCAGGGTCACATAGCTGATATGTGTCAGAGGCGAGCCTTGAACCCAGGTCTTCCTTGACTCCAAGGCCAGCCCTCTATTCACTACGTCAGGCTGCCCTAGAGGTTTGTCAAAGAAATAACACAGTTCATAATTATGTAGTGAAACAATAGTTGCCTGAATAAGAATCCATGTCAAGGTTCTTGAAATGTCCCATGCCACTCCTTATCATAAGTATTTCTTTTTTTCATTATAAGTATTTCTAGACTCAAGACACAATACATTAGAGAATGATTTGTCTTCCACCATAAATGGGTCAGAAGTTGGCATGTTCCAGATGTATACAACAGGGAAGGTTTTCCTCCACATGATAACAAGGGAGCCCTGGACAAAGCTATTGAACCCCTCAGCTTCCAGGGCTGTCTGGAGGAAGGCTGAAGGGAGAGCCAGATGTCATCATCCCCAGCTCCAAACTTCCCCAAGTAGCCAGTGTGTGGGGCTACCATCCAGCTGGTGATGCCTCAATGATTAAGAGATTCTTTAAGGCCAGCTGGGGAATCCTGGAGGAGAAGAAAAGGAGGATTTCCCTCATCCACAATATACTACCACTTCACATTTCTAGAGCCCTAAATGAAGGGGTTATCCATTAATCAGGGAATGGCAACACAAATTATTATAGATGAATGTAATGCAATACTTTTATGACATAAGAAATGACAAAGTGGACAGTTTCAGAGGAAACTGGGAAGGCAACTATGAACTGACATGGAGTGAAATGAGCGAGGCGAACAATGACAAACAAACTTGGAAAAACAACTTGGTAAGTCTTGGGTCCTTATCAGTGAATTCAATGACAATGCTGAAAGACCAAAGATAAAGCATGCGATTCACCTCTTGCTAGAAATTGATGGACTCAGAGTGAAGAAGGAGACACATTTTTTTTTTGGATATGGTCAACAGAAAGTTGCTTTGTTGAACTATGCCTATGTTAAGAGAGTTTGTTGGTGGTCATGGTTTAATGGCTCAATGGGTTGAAATTCAATGGAGTGGAATAGAAAGAAAATAAATGCTTGCTTAAAAATTAATTAATCTAAAATGTTTATAAAACTCTTTATGGTTACAAAGCACTTTTCTATCCATTCTCAAATCTGGGCCTCATATCAGTCATGTGAAGTAAATAGTACAGGTTTCATCCCCATTATACAAATGAAGAAACTGAGGTCCCAAGAGAGAAGAACGTGGCCCAGGTCCCACGGCTAGGCAGAGAGAGGGATTGTTCTTTCCACCTTATATATGTCACCAGAGGCACTTCCTGGCTTTACTGGGCAGAATCAAGCATAAAACTCTAAACCCAAGGCTTCCTTGAGCCATCAAAGATCCTTGGGGTACTTACGCCACAATCCCAGAGAAGTGAAACATTTCTGCGCTGAGGTAGGAGAGGTAGCTATACAAGAAGACAAAGACGGGCTCAATGACACGGGTGGCCGCGGTAAAGCGAGTGGTAAAAGCAGCAACCATTCCAAACAGGAGACCGATGAAGACTCCTCCAATTCCAATCACAAAGAACTTTCCCATCCCAGCCAATATGTCCAGTGTCGTGATAGATGGCATTTCACTGAAAGACTGAAATAATTTATAGAGCACCTGGAAGAGAAGGTGTTAGAAGAAATGTCATTAGAAAAGGTCAAAAATGACGGCCCAAGTCATCCAAATCGATCCAACCCCAACCAGAAAGGTAGTGTGGCATAGTGAACACAATGCTGGACTTGAAGTCCAGAGCAGGGTTCAAATATTCCCCTAAGCATTTGCTGTGTGACCTGGGGTGTGTCATGTAACCTCTAAGAGCCTCAGTGTCCTCACAGTGAGGTTCAAATGAAATAATACATAGGAATTGCTTTGGAAAACTCTTAAAGCACCATATAAACATCAGCAGTTACCACTCAGCACTTCTCAAACTTTGGGTTTCCCAGAACACCCAAAGGTTCATTGGACACCAAAGAGTAAGCCAAGCTTTGCTCTCGTTTCTCATGCCTCCTCCCCTTTGAAATCATTCAGCATTTATTGTGTCATTACTTTATGTTTATTTATCTGTGAACTGAGAACAGAGACTGTGCCCCTGCAGAGAAGCTTATTGTAAGGGCATTGCTTGGCCAATGGTGGACTGAATCCAGTTTTTTTGAATTCTCTGGTACCCTTTATGGGGAGAGGCCTCCATCCATCATGAGGGCAGCCTGGCTCACCAGCCACACACCAGGAAGGCGGCAATACTTACAACAATCACAGCGTCGTTGAGCAGAGACTCTCCAAAGACCAAAATGTATAGTTTCTCATTCATGTGCATCTCTGCGAACACTGAGAGCACAGCCACGGGATCCACGGCGGCAATCAGGGTCCCAAACCAGAGATTATGGAGCAAGGAGATATCGCGCAAGCTGAAGTACTCCACCTGGCAAATGCCATAGAGGGAAAGGCCAATTCCAAGCACATTCCACAGAGTGCCCACAACTGCATACAGAAGGATAGTGCCAATGTTCTCAAAAAAGGGCTGACTGGGCATAAAGTAGCCTGCATCAAGGACAATTGGGGGGAGTAAGTACAGAAAGAATATGTCACTGTCCATGACGGGTGGGAATTTGTCATTTAAGCCATAAATGATTCCACCCATGACAAGCCCCACAAAAATCAGCAAGCAGCTTTCTGGAACAACTGAGGGCAGTTTGCTGTGAAGGTGAAACCCTGGAAGAGAGAAAAGGATGGTGTGGCTGATAAGAGTGTGGCATCTTTACTCTGAGTAACTTCTTTTTGGAGAGACAGAGTGTGTGCTGGAGGGAAGTGGACCAGAAGTCAGAAGACCTTTGAAACCCAGCTCTGACACTTTCCAACTAAGTGACTTTGGGGGCAAGTCATTTAACCTCTCTGAGTCTCAGTTTCCCCATCTATAAAGTTGAGATAATAATACTTATGCAACCTTCTCTCACAGGGTTTATGTTATATGATTTGAATTCGTTGCCCCTCCCCTATCTGTGATTTCATTGATGTGGTAAACTCCCAGAGTGAAAACTCCCTTCACTGATACAGAACAGTAATTCCTCTATAACAGTATTAGAGAGTTGCTTGAAGGATTAAGAAACTTGCCCGTGGTCACATAGCTAGAATGTGTCACAGGTAGAATTTGAACTCAGGTCTTCCAGATTCCAAGGCCAGCCCTCAATACACAATACCTCTCTAAAGGAAAATAACTTCTATACTTCAAGAATTTGTGGTTTTGTCAGCATAGAAACTTTCTACTGATTCAGATTGCAACCCCTCTAAAATTTTATACTTGAAAAAGTCCCAAAATTCATCCCCGTGTGGCCAGCCTGGTGACGAACTTCTTCAAACTCAGCTAGGCTGGTCCTAGACCAAGAGATCATCTATCAGAAGGTTTTGGTGCTCAGGATCCTTCTAGCCTAGTAGGACCTACTGGTATAACTTTGAAGAACCCAGGGTCACTCACATTATAAAGCAGGACTTGGGTGGAAGCACTTTTTACACAGTAGAGCACCATGGACAGTGTTTTACAGTTCCATAGTTCATCATTATCATTGAGCCTCAGGATTTACAAAAAAAAAAAGTTCAATTTCAGATGTGCCAGTTTCATAATGACGTAATTAAGATGCAGAGGCACGGACAAAGGTATTTTTCCTCTATGATGGAGACAGCGTTGACTCATAAACCCTATCTAGTTACCATCAGCAAGATTATTTATATGTATCCGCTGAATTCTTCATAAATAGGTACAGACATTTTAAAACATGAAATGATGTATTTATCAGCAATCCTTCTTGTCATCAGAATGATAAGAAATTCAGTGGCAGTGGGTCTCAATAACCTGGAAAGGCACATTACTGGTGCTGGGGGTTAGAGTTTAGATTGGTATTCAATTCTTATTTAGAACAATAGATTTGGAAGGGACCTTTGAGGTCAACTAATCCAACCCTCCCCCTTCAGAATATGAGAGAATTAAGATGCAGATAAGAGAAGTGACTTGCCCAAGGGCACACAGCTGCTTAATAGCAGAACCAGACTTAGAACCTGGGTCTTCTGACTCTCTTCTGTCCAAGGTTTGTTCCAGGGGCAGCTAGGTGGCACAGTGGATAGAGCACTGGCCCTGAAGTCAGGAGGACCTGAATTCAAATCCGGCCTCAGACCAAACACTTGACACTTACTAGCTGTGTGACCCTGGGCAAGTCACTTAACCCCAATTGCCAAAAAAAAAAAAAGGTTTGTTACACTCCTTACACCCCACTTCTCCCCTCTGTCATGGGCTCTGACAGGCCCTAGGGTGATAATAACCAAAGTAATCCTCAGGGCCTTTCCTTCATTGAGCCAATGAAATGTAGGCACCTCATATGGGGGCCATTGGCAATAGTTCTTGACTTGCCCACTGCACAGACATCCCTTCTTTAGCATTCCCTTGGCACACATCCAATCACGCACTTGCTTATCACTGCAGGCTTGTATGTATATGTCTTGTCTCTCTCTCTTGTAGGGCTGCAAATTTTTTTCCACTCCCTGAAGCATTGGATGCCCTTTAGTAGAGTGCCAAATGGGTCTGCGGGACATCATCAAAGAAGCAGCCAAAAGACCCAGTCTAAGAAGCACCTCCCTATCCTAGGCAGCTGCAAAGCAGACAAAAAGGAGCTACTGCCTCTCCCCCTGGAGAGGTTTTCTGAGGCCACACCAAGGATGGGTCAGTCAGACAGTTGATATCTGGGATGGTGTCAGAGCAGTCCTACCTAGAGATACAGGAATGGACACTTCCTCCAGATCCCCCCTAGGCCCACAATTCTGAAGTTGCAATCTCATCGGGCATCAACATTTCTCTAAGTATTAGGAAACCACAAATATCTACAGGTGCCAAGCTTCCTAAAAATAATCCCTCACACTGATCTGCAGAATGCTTCTGCATTCCTAATCTCCGTGAGCTCTCTGCAGTAAGGCAGCCAGGGCAGGGTCCATGAACCAAGCCTGTTTGTTTCTCCACAGGAGGAAAGTGAGGCTCGGGGACTGGAATTGCTGCGGTCTGACAGGCTGAGACCCCTCAAAGACTGGTGTACAGGACAGGGTCATCTGGAATGAATTCACAGACTCAAGCATCTTTAAGTCAAGGTGGCAAAGATTTATTGTTACGCTTTTCAGCGGGCAAGGATTCTTAAGGAACCTGTGAGAGACTGAGGATGGAGCTAGGGTTTATATGGAAAAGGGCATGGGAAAGGAATGCCAGGGACACTGATGAGGTAATCTAAAGGTCCAAGTGTCTTTGGGAGCTATGGATGAGAAAGTACAGGGAGTATACTGGATAGGGAGGGAGATAACAGAGGTATGTATCTTTGGAGTCTGGCAGGAGGAAGAGTCCTTGGGCCAGCCAAAGACAAAACTCCGTGGGCTGGGCAAGGCACTCCTCTCTCTCTGTCTTGATGAGAGAATGTTCTGCAACAATGCAAAACTTTCTCACAAGATAGGAACTTACTAAGGAATTGGGAGGCTTCCAGAGACATGATCTGAGGGCTGGGGCCTGAGCAGCCCAGCACTCTCTCCCCCAGCTTTGTGTAGCTGAACCAGGGAGAGAGATAAGAGTCTTGCTGGGGCCCATGCGTGAATAACTGCTAGGCACAGTGTCCTTGGGCTGGGGAGTGGTTGTCAGAGACAATGTTTCTGAGACTAGGGAGAAATTGGGGTCCAAGTACAAGCACAAGCACCCAAACACGAGCACCCAAGCACCCCATCATTATGACCTTGCCCTCCATCATACTGTTAGCAAGAAGTCTTCAGGCTCAGTGTCGAAGCCCCTCTCCTGGAACAGCAGTATTTGCAAAGGTTTCTTTTAACTAAAGGCCCTGCATGGCAGAACAGAGTCATTTTCACAAAACTGGGGAGTAGAACCATTTGGGGATTGAATGTCCTTTGTCTCACAGCTAAAGGAAGCAGCATTGAAGACTGGAATGGACAAGATTCTAGCACAATACTCTCCACGTTCTGCAGACATTTACTGGGTAACCACCGCATGGCAGACTCAGACAGCAGGCCCAACTTCTTACAAGGCTGTTGATATGTTTTGACATAAAATAGGCAATGCAACTGACAAAATGCAGCTCCCTCCCTTCTTTGCTGAGTTGGAGGCCTATGGGTATAAAGCATTGCATACACTTTCCAAGCTGGTATCAACTGAGCACTGGTTAGTTTTGTCAGACTTTAGAATAACTGATTTAAGAAGACAGTTATGAAAGTCTCCCAAAGAAATATGAAGACACTTGGTAAGAAGCATCAAAGACAGTCCTGGCAAATAAAACTCTTGACTACAGTACATTTGGGCATGGCTGCATCCAGTATTGGGCTTGCAGTGAAACCAAGTCGGATCAAAACCTGCCTCTGAAATGCACTTTACTGTGGGATCTGTCTCTGTGACAGGATATTAGATCTAGTCTAGAGGTGGAAGGGAACTTAGAGCCCATCTAGTCCATCCCCTCCCTCATTTTACAGTTGAGGAAACTGAGGCCCAGAGACTTAACTAAAGTCACACAGGTATGTGGCAGAGCAGGTTTGAGAACTCAGGTCCCATGATTTTAAGTTCAATGTTCTTTCTACTGTATCTGCCTCAGTTTCCTCATCTGTAAAACGCAAATAATAATGGCCCTTAACTCACAGAGTTCTTGTGACAATCAAATGAGGTAATGGATGTGAAGCTCTCTATACACAGGTCAGTTTTTACTAATTGAAGATTTGGGGACAAGTGAAACTTGAAGGCAGGCACATTTCTTATAATACTAGAGTACTGATGTTTTCCCCAAAGCCTGGGCAGGACTGAGTGCCCTGATTTCACCACCCATCGGACAAATACAGAGAGCTATCCAGAAGCTGGGGGCAAGTAATTCAAAGGGGTATTAAGTGAGGTCAGACCCAATTGAGCCCGGAGTTGAGTTCCCTGGTCCCTTCCCCAGAAGCCCCAGTTGTCCCTCAGGGCTGAAGCCCACACCACTCTGCCCGGCCTCCTGACACTTTCCCCGGTCTCTGTGCTCCAAGAGGACAGGTTAGTGCCCAGAGAAGGCTGAGCAAGCTTTGGACTCCCAACTCACCGATCCTGGCCAGTGAGGCCAGCATGATCCACAGAGTAATCTCAAAGGCCACCTGCACATGCTGGTAATCCAGAGAGAAGATGAACAGGTGTGCAGCCCCCGAGCCGTTGGTGCCTTCAGGGCTGCCCGAGGGGCCCCAGCCGCTGCCATGGTCAGGGTCTCCCCGGAGCCCCAAGCCACTGTCGCTGCTGATGTCCTTGTCACTGCCCGGCGGGTCCCAGCCACTGCCGCTGGTCTGGACCTCCTGGGATCCCCAGCCACTGCCGGGATCCAGGTCCTCCTGCAGCCCCCAGAAGCTGCCATGACCTTGGTCAGGGGTGTCCGGGGGTCCCCACTGTGCAGCATCACTGCCGGCATGGGAGGAAGCCAGGAGCAGGGTACAGATCTGAGCCAGCCCCACACCCATGGCAGAGCACTTTGCCCTGGCTCAGCCTAGCCTGCTCAATCCTCCCTCAGCCCTCAAACTCCCAGCCCAGTCAGTTCCCAAGTCACAGCTCCCAGTCTTCGCCTGTGCTCTCAGGAGCCTCAAGCGAGATGTGCCCTGGCCCCTGTGAGCTGCCTCAGCCAGTGGGGCTGGGGGTGGGGGAGGTGGTGGATAGGGGCGGGAGGAGGGGGCGGGGGAAACAGGGAGGAAGCAGGGACCAGAAGGCTGGGGCTGGACTGACAAGCTGGGACGCTAGCTCTCATGGGAGGGCCAACTTCTGGGAGCCCTTTGGGATCCGCGAGAATCTCGTTCCCTGCCAGACCTCACCAGCTGCAATTCACAGCACCCCAGAGAAGAGACCTCAAAGATCATGTAGGCCATCATATCCATGCCTGAGCTGGCAGCATGCCTCACCATTCCAGTTTTGGAAAATTCTCCATGCTAGGAAGTGCCAATATCAAGCAGAAGCTTGCCCCGTGGCTCCCAGGTCTGCTTTTGAGCCAAGATCATGGGCTCCTGGAATTAAAGCTGAAAGATGCATTAGAGACCATCTGGTCCAACCCTCTCATTATTCAGAGAAGGAAACTGAGGCTCAGGGACAGCAGGTGCAAATATGAGAGGCCTAATTTGAACCCAGACCCAAGTACACCACTCTCTCCTCAACCCACCCTGCCTCTGTCTCCTTCCATAGCCCAAAAGAAGGCAGGTCAGGTCTCGGGAGTTTTCAGCATCCCTTTGTGGGTTCTGGAGCTTCTGGTGGCCACACTTTCACCTTTAGATTATTTCTCTGCCCAGCCCCCCTTGAAAGATGTGGCTGGCCTACCACTAGATCTGCAAACCACTGTCTCATGTGTATTGTGGTCCTCACTTTTTCAATGCGGAAAGTTAGGCCCAGAAAAGCTAGCAGTATCTGAGGTAGGATTCAAAGCCAGGCAGAACTCCACTCCAACGCAGAGTTCAAGCAATTTTTAGGCAACAATGGGCCTGGTGTGACATCTTTCAGAGGGCCCCTCCAAGGAACCCTGGGCAAATCATGTGTTTTCTTTTCTTTGTCAAGCGATTCTAACGAATAGAAGTGGTGTGAGGCTGGAGAGTACAAATCAATGCAATGGGAATTCTTCTTGCCCAGTGGATCTCTTTTCATCTTTGATTTCTCTCACCTTGAGGGATGAAGTCAAGTGTGTTTGCATTTCCCAATTATCCAGTTTATTCACTTATGTCCCCTAGCTCCAGGGGCAGGAGAAATGGACAACCTGGAGAATACTGCTTAGTAGCTAAGGCAGGCTTAAAAGGCCACGTGTCAGATGGGGAATCGAGAGACCTGGGGGCCAAACCTGTCCCAGATGCATACTAGCTGTGGAACCCCTGGCAAGTCCCTTAGATTTGTCCTCATCTATAAAATGAGCATAACAATATTTGTTGAGAGGAAAGGGTTTTGCAGACCTTAAAGTGCCATCCAAGTGGGAGAGATTAATTTTGGCTTCTCCCAAGAATCACAGAAGCCCAAAATGGTAGAGCTGTGAGGAACCTTCAAGATCATCTAGGCCAAGCGTTCTTAACCTTGGTTGTACCTGGACCACTCTGACAGTGCAGTGAAGCCTATGGAATCCTCAGAATTACATTTTCAAATGCCTAAAATGAAATACACAGAGGCTCACAAAGGAAATCAATTATGTAGAAACAAACAAATATTTTTTCCCATCCAAGTTCACAGACCTTCTGAAATCTAGCTACAGACTGAGAGATCTGCAGGCCCTGGGCTAAGAACCCCTAACTGAGTCTAAGAAAGGTCCAGGTTGGTGGTGTCAAAATCAAAAAGAAACAGGGACCACTAAAGTCCACCCAAACACTCATGGGAGTTGAATGTTTAAAGCCATACACTTATTACCCATGTGATCTTTTGCAAAGTGAAAAGACAGCAGCCCAGAGAGGAGAAGGGCTTGGCCAAAGGTCACCCAGCTAAGAAACAGCAGAGCCTAGTCAAAGGAGGCCCTGTTACTACGGTCAACAAATTGACAACCTGCAAATACTAGATATGATTTGGGCAGTAACTACAAGAGAAGGGATAAGCAAAAAGCAGATGGATTGTGTTATTGGAAACCAGGAGAAGGTGACTTCAGAGAGACAGAGAGTACAATCAATCAACAGAAAAGGCAAAAAGTCCAGACTCTCTCCCCATGTTCTTCCTCCCTGGTCCTGCCTCGTCACACGGCCTATCTAGAGGTCACATCTGGGCAGACACAGAGGAAGCCCACAGCAGACTGACAAAAGAAGCCTGGGCTGAATGGAGGTGATTCTTGAAACTACAATTGTATTTTTCTTCAGTTTTAAAATACCAGCTTCTTCCCTTCTTTCAAAGATTTATCCTTTTATCTTCTAAAGTGATATATACAAAACTGAATTGCATTTTATCAAGGGAAAATATGTACTATTTCATATAACCTCTAGAATAACCCTCATGGGAGGTAGCCCATGAAGACTTGGGGATGTTGGTGATATGGATTTGAAAGGTTGTGGCAGATACCACTAATTATGAAGCCAAGAAAATACTGTTTCCTTGTGCTGAGACCACAGACAGTAAAAGGGAAGGGAAAAAAAAGTTAAACTGGAAATATCTTGATTCCAATGCTTTTAATCCTAACTTAACTGCTTTGTCAGGAGAGAGAAAGAAGAGAGAGGGAGAGAGAGAGAGAGAGAGAGAGAGAGAGAGAGAGAGAGAGAGAGAGAGAGAAGGAGAACAAGGATTTCACATAGCAGGATGTCCTGAGCATTAGCAACATGACTGACTAATCACAGAGAACATGGGTAATTAAAACATGGAGGCCCAAGGCTATTAGATAAATCCATAACCCATTTTTCCTTAGCTGTCCAAACACCATCCAACCAACCACTAATGACAAATCAATGACCCATTTTTCAGCAAATTGGGACTAGTTTGGAGATGCAGAATCACCAATGCATGGGCCTTTCATTTGTCAACAACAAGTCTGTCCTAAAAAGAAATTAGATGAGAAAGCAAGGCATTAACTGAAAAGTACAGGGAAAAGCTCCAAGTTGGATTTTCACATAAACTTGGGGCTGTTACCTTCTCCATCTACTTTCTTGTTTCCCAACATCCTCTGCTGGGCATTTAACCACTTTGCTATCAGCAAGTGCTAATTGGACTCTACAAACTTCAATCAGGTCACAGGTTCTGGAATAGGAAATTAATTTTTAAATATTCAGTATCCATGTAAATGATGAAAGGTATTGAAGGAAGAAATCAATGCACCAAAGCAAATATATAAAGTTATTAAATTAAAAATGCTAGAATCATATCCCCAAAATGTCATAAAAAGGGAAATATTCATATTCCCATTCAAAGTTCATATCCACAACTGCTCAATTTGTAAGAGCAAGAAACTGGAAACAACATATATGTCCAACAATTGGAGAATGGCTGAATCAATTATGATCTAGTAATGGAATATGTTAGTGCTGTTTAAAAAAAGATAAATATGATGCATATAAGAAAATATGGAAAATGGTGAAATCAGCAGAATCAGAGCTAGATTCATACTGACTACAGTTATATTCTTTTAAAATGAAAAGAAAAGAGGGAGGAAAAGAGGAAGTGAGGGAAAAAGGAAGGAAGGAAGAAAGGGAGGGAGGGATAAAAGGAAAGAGGAAGGAAGAAAAGAAGGAAGGGAGAGAGGGAGGGAAAGAAAGAGTAAAAGAGAGAGGAAGGAAAGAAGGGAGAGAGGGAGGGAGGGAAGGAGGAAGGAAGGAAGGGAGGGAGGGAAAGATAGAGGTAGGGAGGGAAAGAGTAAAGGAGGAAGGAAGGAAGAAAGGAAGGAAGGAGGGAGGGAGGGACAGAAGGAAGGAAAGAAGGGAGGGAAGGAGGGAAAGAAAAAGTAAAGGAGGGAGGGAGGAAGGAAGGAAGGAGGAAAGAAGGAAAGGAGGGAGGGAGAGAAGAAGGGAAAGAAAGAGTAAAGGAGGGAGGGAAGGAGGAAGGAAGGAAGGAAGAAAGGAAGGAAGGAAGGGAGGGAGGGCAAGAAAGAGTAAAGGAGGGAGGAAGGGAAGAAAGACAAGAAAGGAGGTAAAATTTCTGACAGGCCTGAAGGCTCCAGATCAAAAGTATCCTATTTGCTTGTTTGCTATTTGTCATTCTTTTGGTTCCAGAGCTGGCCTGGGAGTCAGGAAGACATGAATTCCAATACTGCCTCGTAAGCTGTGAACAAGAGTCACATGAGATAAAAAGGCACAGATGCTAGAGTGAGCCTCCATATCACCCAACCACAGACTCATTATTAAGTGCAGAACAAAAACAAAATAAATCAAAAGAAAAATCACATATCCTTCAAAGTATCATATGAATAGCTTATTTTCAGACATAGCAATGAGGGTGTACAGTATATAGAGAATAAATATGAAAAGGAAGATTCACCGTTCTAATGGCCCTTACATGTGAAATTCCGACACTTCCATGTTTTTGGGTAGGTCCATCATTTTGAGGGCAGTATTGCCCAGGGCCTCCTGTCAGTACCAAGGCCCAAAGGGCAGCAAGAGGAACCAAATTCAACGTTGCCAACTAAACTACTGTGGCAAGGCAGAGATCGAGACAGGTGACAGCAGGTGGCAGTACGACCCAATGTCTAGACAAATGGTTAAGACATTAGGTGGTTTTTGAACTTTGTAATGTCAGTCATGGGCCCCTCTGGCAGTCTGGTGAAGCCTATGGAGCGTAAAACCAAATTGTAAGATTACAAAGGACACCAAAGGTTAGTGAAAATAAAGACGGTTTTTGTTTGTTTTTTCCCATCCATGTTCACGGAACCCCTGAAATCCCTGCAGGTTAAGAACCTGTGCCCGTGCACAAGTCAGAATACTGAGGTTGTCACCAAGCATTTATCAAGCACCCACCATGGGGCACTGTGCTGACCTTTTGTCTCAT